GTGTATCCATAAAATTGTACCTCATGTTAACTAATTTCTTGTAAATTTTTTGTAAATTTGTCAACGTAAAAAATTCTGGTTTGAAGGTAGAAAGAGTGACTCATTTCTGGGTTGTTTTGGGTTTTTGTTTTTTTTTTTTAAAATGTTGTTTTGATGCAATAATTCAATTTAATGAAGCATATAAATGTAGTTTTTGGCTGTTTTCACTATTTCATTTTGAAAACCGGTTTTGTGCCCTTTTGGCTTTTTACATTTGAGAATAGGTTATAATTATACTGGTAAGTAAGTACACACAATGTACTTCTAATTTCATACGTATCAAATTGTAAGTCACGGGTTCACTCCCAGTATTGGCTGAGAAATAAGTGGTGCAAGACGGAGGGTTTGGCAAGGCCAGTGTCAAGTCAGTCGGATGGGGCAAAAAACTGAGGTCCTGCATACACTTAGGGGGGGGGGGGGGTCCTACAACCCATAGCACACTATGAGTGGTTCTCTGACAAAGAAAAAGAGTGTCTAGCAGTAAGGATTGGACAAAAAAAAGAGGTTAATGCACATACCAAGATAAATTTACATATTACAGTTCTCTATTTAAACAAACTCTGTTACCACTAGTGGTGCAGAAAAGTTGGACATTCAACTCCATTTGTCCCCTTGGTGCAGAAAGGTAGGATGGTTAAAAAACTTATTTTCATTTATTTCTTTTATGATCATTCTAATATTAGAATCACACATTTTTCCTGTTTATTTCTGTGAAATAATTTTTCTTATGCTAGAACCACCTGTAGGCCCCTGAACCATATGTTAGTCCAGAAATGACCTAGTTTGTGTGAAGTGGACGTTAAAACCCTATTTCTCTCTCTCTCTCAAATAATTTGAAATTCTGTGATTTGCCAAAGCTATTGTGGCTGTTTTTTGCTATTTACGTTGTTAGACAAAATGTAAACATATTTTTAAACATGGGTTGGTTTGGGTTTTTTTAAACTTAAACCTGATAAGCTATTGCACATATATAATACAGATTATTTTCGAAGATAAAAACAAGAAACTTATTTATTTTCGGCTAGTAAACAATGCAAGACAACTGTGAATCAAAAGAAAGACAAAACAGACAGTATAGTAGCTATGATTATATTCCTAAAGGAGTTATCTACACTAGAGACATTTTTGGGAAAATATGAAAAACGTTACTTAATCCCCTAGGGAGAAGAGAAGAGAGAGAGAGAGAGAGAGAGAGAGAGGGAGAGAGAGAGAGGGTACAACACAAACTAGGTCATTTCTGGAGGTACAATATTATTTCATTCATTTGTTGGTGTGTAGGGGTCCCTAGCAGTGGAGAAAACCCACATATAAGTATGGGATCGAAAAAATTACCTTTGAACTAAGTAATTGCCATTTCCACAACCTTGTTAAGTGGTCTTGAAACTTGTCAGTAATCAATATTTATATTTTCAAACATAATTTATACCTAATTTTTCCCCGGTCTTAATCCACGATAAAATGTACACAAATTGATTTTTTAACATTTAATTAAAAAAACAAAATAGTTTATAATCTCTCCGATTAAAAAGAGGCCCATCAAAAGATTTTACCCAGCATTCAAAATCCCTCAAAAGACGATTAGCAGCTTTATAATCAAACTTCGACAGTAAACCCACATCAAAAAAAGGAAAAATCTATATCCCTTACTATTTCGTTTGTAATGCACCAGTACTTATAGAAATGAAATGAGGTTTAATGTCCTACCTTTTTGCACCGACTGGGCTAATGAACTATCTCAAATAACACACTTTAAACATACATTATGAAAGAGCAAAATCTGCTTATTACAAGTCTTTCTTTAGGCCTGAAATGTTATCTAAATTATCAATTAGACATTAATTAACTTATCCAGACCATAATAAACTCTCGATGTCAAGGCTAGCCTTCGATGTTGGCTGGATTAGATTCCTATATGCCGCTAACGGCCATTGATAATTAAATCAACAAAAGGGGATAATCGAGACTATGCTGTTTATATTAATGATTTTAGTAATGATGACCGAGACTATGCAAAAATTTCACCCGCTTCTTTCTCGGCTCATAGTGGATCAATTTGACTGAAATTTTCAGCAATTTACCGTTACACTATCTAGTTTTTAACTATTATAGCGAAAACTGCCATCTTATCTCAAATAACACACTTTAATGGAATAACAATTACTATGGTTTATATCACTGCAAGATTTCAACAAGATTTCGCTAGTCATTATCAAATATATACACAAATAGATAAAATAAAATGAGAAAATATTAATATATATAACAAACATCGGTGTGAACTATCCATTCCAATGCATATACCGATGCCATAGTTCTGGAAGGTTGTAAGTGCCACTTATGACCCATATAGCTTTTTTTGCATGGGATCACTAACCACATTGTGGGGCTTCTCTATGTAAAATTTCAGAACTGTAAGGTCGTAACTTCCACATAAAAAATTCTTTTAAAAATGTTGATATCCTAATTGCGTTATTAAGATTGGAATAGGTTTTCCTCTCATATCTCAAAAACTAAATCCGACAATTTTTTAAGCTTAACGCCTTTCAGAACTATGACATCGATATATATATATACACAAACATCAGTGTGAACTATCCAATTTCTCGGTCATCACTGGGATCGAACATGGGACCTTCAGATTAGTGAGTCAAGTGTCTTACTCACTGAACCACTGCGGCTCCCCTAGTATATAATGCTATTGGAAATAACCACCCGATAAAAACTTTCGTGGGAAAATAGCTTTTTTTAGGATGTCGTTAAAAACCAGCAAAAATTACACAATGTACACCGGTTTATTTCCATTGGGTGTAATTTGTGTTCTAATAAACCAGTCTATTTGATTGTAAGGACACTCAACTTATAATGCGACAGACTCTTTCACTCACGCATCAGGTATGGAAGCCAAGAATGGTTCGGGGGGTTGGATGGTGGATTGGTTAGCGTGTGTGCGTTGTCATAAGGTCTGTCATTGACTCAACTGGTGTGGTTTCAATGCCCCGGTTGTACGTGACAAGGAGAAGGATTTCCTGTCCAACCTCGTTGGTTTTCTACGGGTTCTCTGGTTTCCTCCCACTGCTAAAGACCCCTACGCGCAAACGAATTTATTGAAATAAAATTGAACCATATCTTAGTCCCGAAATGACATAGTTTGTGTCGGGTGGATGTTAAACACCATTTCTTTCTTTCTTTCTTTTCTATTTTCACAGATCAAAGATCTTGTATATTCTGATCTAGTTTTATATAAATTTTTATATAGATAAATTGTCATAGTTTTGATAAAGACGAGTGCTTTTGAAGTATGTAGTCATATACAGGTGTTTTCTACAGGTAAATATCTACCTGTATTATACCTGTATACAAGGTAACATAATTTGACAGGTGATCACTTATAAACAACTATTATATTTCTAATACAAAATATCTACAAAGTTTTCCTCATCTTAAATATCTGCGATATAAATACGACAAGTTACTGTTTCTCCTACACATGTGATAGGGGCATACAATCAATTAACCAAACCACTGTATTCCTCTCTAAACCTCCGTATTGATTTTTATTTGCATCAAATTGAAATTTTTATAATAAGCTGAAGATTTATCCCTGTCACAAAGTTACCATAGTATTCTAATTACATGTCTTGAAAATGTCTTGAAAATCAGAGAGATAGAGAGAGAAATGGTGTTTAACGTCCACTCGACACAAACTTGAAAATCAGAACAATATAGGATCAATGCCCTCTCAAGAGATCTTATTCCTATCACAAAGTTACGACAATATTCTTATTACGTCTTGAAAATCAGAACCAATATAGGACCAATGTCCACTCAAAGAGACTTATCTCTATCACAAAGTTACGATAATATTCTTATTACACTTTTGAAAATCAAAATAATATAGGAGCAATGTCCACTCAAAGAGATTTATTCCTACTGCAAAGTTACGTAACATTCTGATTACATGTCTTGAAAATCAGATGAACATAGGACCAATACCTACTCAAGAGTTTTATTAGCCAACCTCAGACATAATAAAACAACAGATTAGTGTTGGTCATATCAAATAATTATTGAAAAATCAAGACTTTATTATAAAACATCAAGAATTATCTTTCTTTTCTTTTTTTTAAAAATGACATCCGCTATAAAGTTAAAATAGATCTAAATACAGAAAATGAAGACGGTGATGGTTCCAAAATAGGCCTACCTCTTTCTGTCCACTCATACAAACTCAAGCTCGACAGTTTTACGGACTTAGACTTTAAATTTTAAGATTCGTAAATGAATCCGATACAAACTATTCTTTTTGGAATATATTCAAGAATTAATAAATCGAAATCTTTCAAATAAAAGAATATTTAAAACAACAAAGTACGGAAGAGAACCAGGGCTAGGTACTAAATCTTAGTTACATCGTCCTCATCTCTGACTTCTAAATCAAGAAGTTTTTATATTTTAAACAAAACCCATCTAACATGAAGCAAGCTAGCCTGGATATATCTACAATTCAGCTTGCACTAGATCTTACAGCTAGCTAGTAAAATAATGAATACATAATTATCTGTAGTAATACCACTACTGCTAACAAAAATCATCAATATATTTCCTTAAATCTACCATTTCTTACTAAAATAGAATCTCTGCTTATCTACTAACATCTTGGTATCAAAATCATCATTTTCATACAATCACAGTTATTAGATAATCTCTTTTAAAACAAATCTACCTGTCTCAATTTGAAAATAACATCCCAAAAACAACAAAGAAGTCGAATTAGGTTGAAAATGGCTACAGTCATAGCGCAACTCGTTCACAGATAGTTTAACAACAAGAAATTGACATGAAAATTTACCAATTAAGATCGCACTCATCTTCCCAGATAATACCTCATAGTAACAACAACAGTTTCACTCACACACGTGCCCTATTTTAAACATTCGCAGGTGAATTAAAACATAACTAACCTCAAAAATCTTTAAACAAAGAAGATTTTTCTGTGTTGAGTCTCTCTGCGCGAAATAATATGCCTCGATAAAATGGCTGAACCGAAGCTACCAAGATATAAATGGTCAATATAACAAGCAACTGGGGAAAATGTTGTTATGCGAGCACAACTTAAAAAAATCTTAATTTTGTCACAACTAAAACACTAAAATTATATGTTTGACATACCAAATGAAAGCTGACGAAACGGGCAATTCAAATATGATCTCAGATTTTCGTTTCATTTGATATTGAGAGAGGAATCGGCAGTTTAATTTTGATCAACACTCAATCGTTCAAATCTACAATAAGCGAACAAAGTAAAAGCTACGAATAACGCTATTTACATGATTGGATAGCACATCGAACATCTTCCGCACGAGATAACGTTTTGGGAACCTGTTAAATTAATTGTGGACAATTGGAGTCAACGGGAGGATAATTAAAATGATATATTTTAAGTAAACTAGACCTGTTTGCGTCTTTTTCCATAAACCACTGAATGTTTGCTTCAATAATAGAAATGAATGCGGCAGGGATTATTGGTTGAGCGCACGTTGAAGGCAGTTCGTGACGTCATCAGATATTAAACAATGAACATTCATGTGTAAGAAATCGTTCATTCATAAGTGCGTTTTTGGGGATTTCAGTTTTTAAATTTTGGGGGCTTTTGAAGGAAATATAACCTTTGTATTCTTCGTTTGTTTTATACATTTTGCTGTATAATTTTAGATTAGAAAACTGAGTTTACGTTATGGGAATAATGACAAGTCAATTCAATTGACAAAACTGATGAACATTGTTAGATTGTGATTTCCGATGCCAGGACGCTGGCAAAAAAATGAAAACGATTCGGGAAAGAAATCGCTAAGAAAATGGAGATTGTCAGGTCTAGAAACAAACAAAGGAAAATGTAAGCGGGAGATATATTCGCTAGTGGCTAATAGCAGCCCAGCTTACTACACACAGTCGATAAATATATTAAAATAACGAATAGTGTAATTTAGGCCGCCTGCCGCACAGAACTATACATTATAGACTTAATGTTGGACGAGTTCAAAACAATCACACCTTGTAGGGGTGTCAGCTTGTTTATTTACAATAGTGATTATCGCGCTTCGGATTATTTGAACCTTTCAACGAATTCTTCTCTCGCCATAAATGAATCATATCGGTTGATTTCGATCTTCTTCTTTATTTTAACGAATTTATATGACAGAAGTAATAAATAAATTCCATTGTTATCTCACCCACACCCCCTTTTTGGATTATCATTTATATGTATTTATGGTGTAGATACAGACAGTGTGCATAAAAAAGAAAAAAGTACAGCAAACTCTATGTAGCTAAAAGTTGAGGCCATGTGGCAAAGCTGGAATAACTTTCAAACGAAATTTTATCTTTAGTTCTATAACTGGGGTGAACAAAGTACAACACTTCAAGTTAACTTTACAAGTAGGCTGCATGTATGTGTAGGCCTTATATTTTTATTAATAGCTGCAGTAATTCGGCCATTATTGTTTTGCGCGCTTTTAAATGTATTTAGTTTTATCCATGAAAAGTGCGCGTTTATAATCTAATAGTTTTATTATTAAAAGCTGTAGTAATTCGGCAGACTATCATGTTATTTTATGCGCGTTATTAAAATTATTTTCTTCTACTCGTGAAAAATGTGCGTATAATCTTGCAGAATCGGTTAGGCCTAGATTTTTATTACATTAATATCTGCAGTAATTCGTCGGACTTTCATGTTATTTTCTTTTTCTTTTTTCTTTTTTTTTTTTTTTGCGTGCTTTTAAATTCATCTCTCCATGAAAAATAAATGTATAATTTTTGTGGATTCGGCGCAGGCCTATATTTTTATTTCATCAAAATCTTCACTGCTTCAGTAATTCTGCGGACTTTCATATTGTTTGTTGCGCGCTTTTATATTTATTTTGTCATCTTCATAAAAAGTGCGCATATCCGTGTGGAATCGGTCAGTTGGATAATGATATACAGAAATGTTTTACAGTTCTTACCCTCCCACCCACAATCTTTTAAAATGTAGTGGTATTTAGTAGAAATTCGGATGAACACTTATTGGGGCTAGGCGGTTATGACGATGTGTACACAACAGTAACTATATTCACACCCCTCCCTCACACTCCAAATTTTATAAACTTTAAGGGTATTGGTAGAAACACGGGGTACAATTGTATGGATACACGATTACTGAGTTTAATACTAAGCGACGTTTCGACGAGGATACCCTTGTCTTTATCAAGCAACGTCGCTTAGTATTAAACTCAGTAATTGTGTATCCTCCATAAAATTGTACCGTGTTAATACATATGTATGTTCAATTACTAAATGCCAATCAAAAAGGTATTGGTAGAAATTTGAAATAAAATTAAAAAAATCACTTTATATCATTCAGAAATCGTCCATATACGTCCCGGGAGATCAGGGGTTGCAACCAAATTTATGTCGGAGGATAGATGACCAAATGAAAAACTGCAAATTATTAAATCGATAGGTGGCATCCTCTAATTGATTTTTGGCCACAAATTTGCATTCGATATTACGCAATATTGGATAAATGGGGTTTAACGTCCACTCGACACAAACCAGGTCATTTCGAGACTAACATATGGTTTAATTTTTTTATTTAAATAATTCGCTTGCGCGTAGTAGGGGTCTTTAGCAGTGGGAGGAAAACGGAGGACCCGGAGAAAACCCACTAGGTTGGACAGGCGACCCTACTCCTTGTCACGTACAACCGGGGAATCGAAACCCCGCCAGTTGACTCAATGACAGACTGTAGAATACAGCGCGCGCGTTATAACCATTCGGCCATCCACCCCACCCCTCTTTCGGAGGAGAGCGGGGGTGGGGTGGTTGTGGATTAGCTGGTGAGTGGCCAAGTTGAAGGGTAGAACATTGCAGATCAAAATCTTTCACTGATATTTAAATCAAACTATCAACATCATCATCAGAAACTGCAGCAAAATCTCTCTCTCTCTCTCTCTCTCTCCCTCTCTCTCTCTCTCTCTCTCCTGGCTCGTATGACTAAACCGCGTTAACAGTATACGTGTATAGGCTATGAATGTCATATGTTTGATTTTTATCTGATCACTGACTCTATTCATAAAAATACCATTTAAAAGTTAAACAGATGAACACAGCCAATAAAACTACACCTAGTAAGACAGATGTTCACATAAGAATAAATATAGTTTTTATTCCTAAAATGTCACTATAGGTAAAAAAGCATTCATATTCATACCTGAATAAATATATTTTTTATGGCTAAAAATTTCAGTTACTATACAACTATTTCGCGTTTTGGTAAGCAATTAAATTTTTGTATAACGTCGTCGTTGTTGTTTATTAAAAATTTAGCGTCAAGGCATGATATCACGGACAGGGTGATTTACATATGAATGAGTAACGTGGATTGAGGAATATTTTAACGCGTGCACTGGGAAGAAACCGGAGAAAATCCGCAAGGCTGGACAGGCTAGCCCACTTCTTGTCATTTTCGCACTGGCAATCGACACCACCCTATTTGAGTCAATGAAAGAAATGAAATGAAATGAAATGGGGTTTAACGTCCTACTGTTCTGCTCCTAAACTGGGCTAATGAAGACAGGCATACGCCATACAGTGTGCTATGAGGGAAATTTTGCTCGGGCAGCAGTACTACGGCCTACTCTTATATGGTATTCCAACTGCCAAGGGATCTTTTACGTGCACACCAATGTATACACGGGACCTCGGTTTTCGTCCCATCCGAACGACTAGACAGTTAATGAAAGATTTCATGATCTAAAACTCACGATTGTCTACGATATCACCTTAGGTGAAAGTGGACGTAAAACTCTAGAAACGAAAGTGCACGTGTTAGACCATTCGACAGTCCAACCCCGCGAGGAGCCATGACAACTGGATGAGTGTGACTTTGGCTCGTTAACAACTGGGGGGAAGGGGGGTCCCAGGTTTTATCTCTGCGTTGGACGGTTACATCTAATTGATAAGGCGAACTTCAAGTTTGGTCAAAGGTCACGAGATGTAAAGAGGGCTAGCACTGATCCCAACCCTAACCCTGGACCTAGCCCTAATGCCTACCGTAACCATGGACCTTCTATAAGGCCCATGCCCTAACCCTAACCTACAATCCCTAACCTTATTTACATCTCAGCGACCTTGGCAAAAATTGAGCTGGCCTTAACAAATAGATTTATCCTGACGTTGGACTAGAAAGTTCTCGTTTCCTCAGAAGACCAGACAGGAAAAGGCCTTTATTCGTTCGGGTGGTACGAAAACCTATAAGTCCCATGTATACACCTTTAAAAACACGTTAAAGGCCTTCTGAAGCTGGAAATCTAAATAATTGAAGGGTAAGTAAATGAAATGAAATGGGGTTTAACGAAATGAAATGGGGTTTAACGTCCTACTCTTCTGCTCCACTGGGATAATGAAAATGGGCTTACGCCATACAGCGGCGGCGCTACGGTCTACTCTTATATCGAATTACAACTGCAAGGGATCTTTTACACACCAATGTGTATACGGGACCTCGGGTTTCCTTCCATCCGAACGACTAGACAGCCGTCCTTGTCAGGCCCCCCGTCCTGCACCACTGACAAAGGGAAACCACGTCGGAAAATCCCGATGAACAATTTTCGACCAACACCGGGATCTAACCCGCGACCTCCAGACTAGCGAGCCCTCACCTTACTCACTTAGACACTGTGGCTCCCTGAAGGGTAAGTAAGAATCTGTGTAGGGTTATAAGCAATAAGTGGAAAATAACTTCCTAATGCACATTATAAATAATTATTTTGTAGCATTTAATGAAACATACATTATGCAAGAGCTAAATCTGCCTATTGCAGGTCTTTCTTTAGACATTAATTAACTTATCCAGATCATAATCAACTCTCGATGGCATTCCTTTCATAACTAAATCATGAATTGGATAATCTAGACTATGTTTTTTATCCTACCGACTTTAGTAATGATGCTCAAGGGTTGGCCGAACATTCAAGCGCTAAAATCTAGGTTCATAGTGGATCAAT